TTTATATTATTATTAATTATTGAATTATGATTAGTTGCTCTTTGAAAATATGAATTAAGTTAATTAATTCTGTTTAATCATATATAATTTAAATTAGAAATTTATTATTAATTTATTTGTATTTTATATTCATTTCTTTCTTATAAATAAGATCTTTCTGTTTTGTACTTTTATCTCAGATCTGAATACTTTTAAATAATAAAAATAATTATAAGTTATAAAATTAAAACTGTTCATAACATATTTTATTTTGTTTATAATCATTAACAAAATAATTTTACAAAAAGAAAGAGATAATATCACCTGATTAGCTGCTTGAAATAATAAACAAGTCAGTCATATAATTTTAGTTATCAATTTATTATACACTTCTATATCCAAAAAAGAATTAACCAATAGCAAGATAAGATTAAAATCTTGTAACAGACCAGTACTATGAAAGAATATACAGACAAATTCAATTATATTTATGACTATACTAAATATAAATAACTCTTACAAACTTTGTAATCAGAATAAAAATATTCTCAAATATTCTATTAATAGAAAATAACTTAAATATTATTATAATTATCAAGATTATTTTGAATCACAAATTATTATTGAGTAACTCACATAGATTATTGCTTAATTTTTATCATTTCTAGATTCAAAATTATCTTCTATCTTATTTTTATTCATTTTTATATATATCTTTTTTCAAAATTTTTAATATCTTATTACACTATCTGGATAAAAGTATTGGCCACCCTAACTTTATTAATTATTCAAAAGTATATATAATAATTGGGACTAAAATTTTTATATGTTATAGTCTAACTTATTATGAATTTATATATAAAATTAATACTTTGTTGGCCAGCCCTTGCTTGCAATATATGCTTTGACCCTTCTAGGTATACTTTTAATTAAATTTATTAAAATATTGTTGGGAATTTGACTTTATTCCTCCTGTAATACTATCTCAAGCTCTCTTACATTTTTAGGTAAAGTTGAATAGTTTCTAATTTATCTTTCCAGTTCTGACCATAAATATTCAATAGAGTTCAAATCTGGTGATTAGCTTGACCAATTAGGTAAAGTTCTGATCTTTCTTTCTGCAATCCATTTATTAATATCTTTCACAGTGTGAATAGGGGCATTATCATCTTGAAACAAATACCCTTTTTCATCAAAATCTCTACTAATCAATAGTAATAAATAGATTTTAAGTATTTGAATATAATCAAATTTATTCATTTTTCCTTTTACTTTTACCAATGGACCTAAGTCTTTATCAGAAAAATAACCCCACATCATCAAATCTTCACTCCCATGTTTAACTAAAGAAGTCATATTTTCTATATTAAATCTTATTCCAAAAGTTCTCTAAACATGACCTGAACTATCATTCTTGAATATTGTAAAGTGACTTTCATCATTCTAAATAACAAACTTCCATTTTTAAATAGATCAATCCTTTCTTTCAATATATCAGTTTAGGTAATTTTCTTTTTGCTGATCAGTAAGTAAAGACTTGAATGTTGGAATATGAGAAAAAAATTAATTTTGTGTAAATTTCTCCTAATAGTTTTAATAGAAATATCAAGTCTAGTTCTTTTATTAAATAGTTTTTTGAGTTGTTCAGCTAATTTTTTGTTGTTTTGCTTAACAATCCATTTTAATATTTGCTTATGCTCAAAATTTAAAAGTTTTGGATAGCCACTGCATAGTTAGATTGTGAGACTTTTTCTTTCAAGAAAATTTTGAATTATTCATCTTATTGTTATTCTAGAAAAGTCAAGTGTCTTAGATATACTCATTTTTGTAGTGCCACTTTTAAAAAGTCTAATAATTTGACCACGTTCAGCTTCAGTTAAGTCAGACATTTTCAAAGTAAAGATTAAAATTGATTGATTCAGTTTATTATATTATTTATAGAAGAAATAAATATAAATAACATATAAAAAATATATATACATTTCATAATAAGTTAGACTATAATATATAAAAATTTTAGTTCCAATTATTATGTATACTTTTGAGCAATTAATAAAGTTAGAATAGCTGATACTTTTGTCCAGGTAGTGTATTTATAATAGATTATTAGTTTAGAATTTATATAAATACTCTCTCTCTTTCTTTTATCTTTTTCTTTATTCTTTTATATTTATACTTTTATCTATTACTTCTACTTTTATTCTTTTATATATCTTTTTGAATTCTTTTATATTTTTCATTTTTATTATTTTATTATATCTTAATTATCTACTTGGATTACTTTTCAAGTTATTAAATCTCTTGAAGAGATATATTAAGAGATTCTCACTTAATAACCTTTTAAAATAATTACTTTTTTGATCTTTAGATTACTTGTTTGTGATAATACAGAACAAAAAATACATATTTTTCTTTTGAATTTATTTATATAATCAGGATTTACTAAAGATATTAAAATTAATAATTCTTTTCTCTTGAAACTTCAGATAATAATTAAATCAATTGAAATATCTGAAGAACTAGTTAATATAATTATTATTTTAAACTTTGACTAATTAAATATATTTATTATTATCTTATCAAAAGAAGAATTAGAAGTTAATAATAAAGATATTGGAAGAAGAATCAGAGTTTATAAATTCTAATAGTTTAATCACTTCTGAAGAAAAATCTGAATCATTTATTCTTATATCTGATAAAACTAAATTCATTCTTGAAAAAGATTAACTAATCAAACTTGAAGAAGTTATATTACTAATTTATAATAATTCAATAGATAATAATTAAATAATAATTTAATATTATAAAATTGAATATTTACTTATAGTTTAATCATATTGATATTCAAGAAATATGTTGAAAATAAAAAGAAAAATTAAAGATACTATTAAAAAATAAATATATAATAGATTGTATAATATTATATTTTATTTATAAATTTGAGGAAGAAGTATTTGATAATTAATTTGACTTTATATTATATTACTTGAATAAGAAAGAGATCTTGAAGATTATTAATTAATTTTTGCAAGAGCAAAAATTTTCTGAAGAAGGATTATATAGTATTATAATAATATAAAGTTTCTTAATTTTATAATTTTTTCTTGATTATATGAAATTTTATTTTTATATAATTTTATAATTTATTATATAATTATCACTATTTTTATATTATATATTTATATTTATTACTATATTTTTATTATATTTCTATTTTTAAATATTATATCTTATTTTCTTTTATTCAAGATTTATATTTTTGAATTATATATAATATAATTTTTATATATATAGTAAAATAGTATATTTAAAGATCATTTTTAATTTTTGATAGAATAATTATATTTAAAATATTGATTAATAAAATGTTCACAAAAATATCTATGAAAATATTTATAAAATATTTATAAAAATATTCATAAATATATCTATATAAATGTAATTCTGATATTATCAATATTATAATAGTAGAATATTAATTTTTTATAATAATATATATATCTAGATAATATTAAATAGTAATATTATAGTAATTTTTATATTTGAAAAATATATAAAAGAACTTGCTATTCCAGCTTAAAATAAATAGTTTTGTTTGAAAAATATAATTAAAAAGTTTATTATTATAATAATAGTAATCTTTTTAAAAGATTCTTTTTCTAATTATATTAGTACTCTTTCTCTTACTTAGTTTTATTTCTTTAACTATATAAAGTTAATTTTGATTTGAATTATAATATTATATTAATTTTTAATTTTTGATATTACTTTGAGAGTAGAAGATTAAAAATTGAAAGAAAATTAAACTTTTATTTTTAGTCTTTTAAATTTTTCAAATAAAAAAACTGGAATTTTTTATTTTTAGTTCTTTTCTTAAATAAAAAAATTATAATTTTTAAATATAATTTCAATAACTTTTATTTAATAATTATATTGAATAGCTAAATAAAGTTATTTATTAGATATAGAATAATTTTCATGAAATTATTAGTATTTTTATTATATAATTATTTTTAATTATATAAAAATTTTACTAAATAATTTTAATTATAACTTTATTTTAAATGATTAAGTAAAGTTATTTATTAGATATAAAGTAGTTATTTATTAGTTTTTAGCAAATTTGAATAAATTTTCATAAAATTTAATTCAGTATATTATTTAGATGGAATTTTCTTTTATTGTAAATATTCAGAAGTATTTTCAAAAATAATATTAATAATTATGTATTAGAAATTTCAATAATAGTAAAAGGAAAAAATTTAATTGACTAAAAGCTTTTTTTATAACTTAAAAAATTTAATAAATTGATAAAGAAATAATCTCTTATTAGTTTAGTTAAAAATTTAAATTTAAAAAAATTATTATAAATAAATATTAATATTAATTAATAAAATAGCTAGTAATTATTCTAGAATATTTAAAATATACTATTGCTTCTAAATATATTATTTAAAAAATTCTATTTATAATAAAGTGTTGGATTGAAATTATCATAATTTTTTATTATATAATTTTTTCAATTATATATAGAAACTTTACCAAATGATATTGATTAAGTAAATTATTTATCAAATGGAATGAGTTTTCATGAAATTATTCTGTTTTATATTATAGAGTTATTTTTTAAATGGCGGAATCTATAAAATCTCAGAAAATATTTCTGTTTCACAAGATATCCTGAGCTATTTAGAAATGGTTTGAATTGGAGTTTTCAGGAAAAAATGCTTAATATTTCGAAAAATCTGTCTTAGTCATAATTAAAGCTATTTTTCAAAGTATTACCTAAAAATATTGTATATGTCTTAAGTATAAAAATAAATACATAAATAAAAAAATTATTAGAATTAATATAGAAAATAAACAAAATAGACTAAATATTAACATTTTTAAAAATTAAATTTTTAATTGTATATTATAAAAATAAAATTCAAATGTAAACTAACTTTACTTTAAATAAATTTAACTGTCATTATTTTTCTCCATAACTATATTTCTAGTTGGAAAACAGGAATAAGCAATCTTCTGCCCATTCTTTGCAAGTGAATTCTTTGAATTCTTTAGAGACTTAAATATAGCATGATCTGGAGTAATATTAAAAAATCCATGAATACATTGCCCTGGACAATCGTCCATAACTAAGCTAACGAAAACGGGACTTTGTAAAGTTCTTTGTGTGGATAACGCTAATGATTGCTCTTGTTCGTTTGGTTGCTTCGTATTTTGATCAATTAGTTCCTTATATATGTCAAAACAAACTTTAAAGCGTTTCTGTTTACTTAATAACGAGCTTATAAGTTTACTATTAATTTGGGTTTGTCCGAATTGATTTCCATCTGTTCCAGCGACGGATTTGTTTCTAGTAACGATACTAGAAAAGAATCAACCAAATTAGATTGTTTACAAAATTTAAAAAAATCTTTAAAACTTTACCTCCAATTTACTGACAGTCTAATCGGAGTATCAATACACGGTGTCACTTTAGATATTAAAGCTAGAATTAGTTCCATGCAATTTAAAATAAGTCTTAATATAAAAAAACTTACTATTTTGAAGTTCATAACAAAATACACAAGTTTCAATAGCACTATTTTTGGAAACAAAATGAACTCCGGCGATATATTTGGAATCCCTTGGATCTTCTTGTGAATTATTTGCTCTTGAAACACAAGTAGCCAAAAGGCTATTATTTGGATCGGTTTGTTGATTCGATTGAATAGTAGCCACAAATCGTTTATCGTTATCATTTGCTACGACTTCGATTTCATTACTTTCGAAAACTGGCTGTACTAAAGGTAGTCCGAATAAATTTAGCATCGTGGATGTGCCGATCACAATCCAACCCAATTTCAGTGTAAACTTTGGTGATTTTGATCGCTTTTTTAATTTTCCCAGCCGATGAATAATAATTACAGGCGTTTTATCGTCTATATAATGAATTCGTGTAGCAAATAAGTATTTCGACTCGTCTTCTTTCATTTCTGTTACAAATATTTGATTTTCATCAGAAAGTTGAAGGTTTGAAGGCAGTTTATAAATATATGGATCTGGCCGAGAAATGTCCATCCGAAAAGATAATGTTTCAACTTTTGATTCCACAATTCGCTTTGTTAATGCTGCTGCAACTTTTGATTTCTTTTCAGGATCCAGAATATCAAATATTGAATTTATTTCGGTATATTCTGCTACCGCCCACTCCTGATAGTCGTTTAATGAATTTATCCAGCCTAAAGAAATTATTTCGGATTAAAAAAATGACAATAAAAAACTAAATAACTCTATATTTCTGCTAACCAGACATCCCAGATTTATGATAACTTTCTTCCGAGCCACCAAATATTTTAAAAAAAGCATTTTCATTAAAAAATGAGTTCGTTTGTTGACTTTGTTGACTTTTTCCTGCTTCTCCGTCAATATCAGCATATTCGGATGCTTTTAGCTTCCCAGAAGCTTTCGTTTCTTTCGAGTCCCTATGCACCTTCAGTATATTTTCCTTGCTTTCTCTAAATAAAATTCTGCCGCCAATTCCGAGTTTTTTGCACCAATAGGGCCCATATTCTTTAGCAATTTCTTCAAGAAACGCACGCGGATTTTCTGATGCGAGAGCGTCGTCAACATCCTTTGTAAATTCATTTGTTGGCTTTACTTCTAATTCAGAATATAATATTTCAGCTTTTATTCTTTTTGAAGTCCGATAAGTTATTGAATTTTCAATGTTTACGTGACTTTTAGTCTCTCTACTCCCATTGAGGGTTGCCGAAATCGATGACCTATCATTTAAACTCAATTAGCACATAAATAACAATATTGAATGTATAAATTAAGTTTCATATGTAATTAACCCACCACGGCAAACTCGCAGCGACTTGAGACCTTGCTATAAAATTTTGCACACAAATTTCATCAATTTCTGTTTGACATACGACCGTTTCATCAAGTGTATCTGGTTTTTCTAACTTTTTCAGTTGAAAATTCGTGATATCTAATGCTTTTTTCTTTGCACTCTTTGGTCCATTTTTCGAAAAACTAATTCCATATTCCAGTTTACATGATTCCTTAATCTTTTCCGGATCTAATTCACGCTCGCTAATAATTTTCAAAGTATTATTAGCATGAAGAATCTGTTTTAAGAGAAATCTCATTTCGTAATTTTGCGGAATTTTGGCGTCAAATGAGCTCATGAAATTCATTTTTGAATTCATATGAATATTTTCTTCATCGGCAAGTAAAACACGAATTTCGGTCAGTTTTTCATCTAGGAGAAGTGGTATGAGGATAGGCCTGCTGTTATTTATTTGAACATTAATATCGAGTTTTTGTTCAGAGTCTCTGAATGTTGAGGATGAAGAGACTTCTACCATATTTGCATGCATAAAATGTAATGAGTACATGTGTTGAAATAGATTTCTACACTTTTTGAGTACAGTATCAAATGTACGCTTATTAAATTTAGAAATTTCTGCAACGTCGTCGCGCATCGCACACAAGAGGAATACATGTACAAGACTTCTTTTTTGAACATGTACCATAACACGGAAAGATCGATATAGATTTTCTGAGGTTTATTGTATATGTAAAAAAATCAATTCATGTACATGCATACAGTATTGCTTTTGTATAGCTTGCTGTTTCAATAATCTCATAAATTTATTTATCAAAATGAGTAGAAATAACAATAGTAATAATGATGACAGTGAGGCAAGCGACACTTCGACGATAGGAAGAACCAGAGTATTAGGTTCATTATCTGGTATTGGAAATAATTGCAATAACATGATTGGTGCTGGAATATTCTCAAGTCCTGGCCTAGTTTTAAATGAATTAAATCTCCTGGGATAGCATTAGTTTTATGGACAGTGGGTGGAATTACCGCTTTATTTGGTTCATTAGTTTACACTGAGGTATTTTAATTTTTTATTTACGCCTAATATCATTTTTAATCATGATAACTTAATTTATAATAACAATAGTTAGGAAGTAGTATACCAGATGGAGGCGGAGAAACTGTGTATCTGCAAAAAGCATATCCTCGCCCTAAAGCGCTATTTAGCTATATGTTTAGTTTGATTATTATTGTGATAATACGGTACGGCCAGCTTATGTGTCCGCTACCGCAAATATTTTCGCACAATATTTCTTATATTTAATTAAAACAAATGAAAGTAATGAAAGTCCACTTTGTGACATTGATTATCTACATCCCAATAAATTTATTGTTGATTGGAACTTTTGGTAAGTGTTAATAGCTACATATATTGTTACAGGATTCATGTAATAAATCTAGAAATTCTGTAGGCAATTACGGCTTTGGTCGTTATCCGCAGTAATTCTAGTCACCTTTTATCACATTCTATCTAACAAGTGGGCAAATCATATAAATCAAACTCTCACAATTATAAAGATGTCGACACTGATTGTGATATTTATTATTGGAATAGCAGAAATTCCTCAATCTATTAATAATGAGCTAAATACGAATTGGAAAAATATGTTTCCTAATAATGCGATAGTTAATGTAAACTCTTTGACTGCTGCATTTATTCCTATTTTATTTGCATACGATGGTTGGAATAATTTAAATTGTAAGTATAAAACATCGTTCGCATTCAGTATACTCGAATATTAAATCTTTTTTATAGATAGTTTGGATGAATTCTACAATCCTCAAGAACAATTAAAGAAGTCAAATAGTATTAGCGTCCTTGTTGTTACTGTTTTGTGTAGGTATCATTTTATTATATGAATAATACTTTGTTGATATTTTCTTAAATTAATTTATCAATTTATAATACATGTATAGATCTTGGTGTTAATATTGCATACACGAATATACCATTATCAAATATAACAGGCTCTTATGCACCTTCAGAAATTCTTGCTGGCGGATTTGCTTTTCAAATCGGCGGCTTTAGGCTTGCTCGTACATTATCTTTTTTCATCTGTTTATCAGCTTTTGGAGCGTTGGCTGCAAACATATGTGCTGGTTCGCGAGTAATTGTAGCCGCTGCTAAAAGAGGCTATACAGTGTGATTCAAAATTATTTGGAAAAATAAATTTATTATTACTCCGCAATCACCAAACCAATTATAATAAAA